CCTGCTTGCAGCTGCAGTCTGGCGGGGAGATTGCACGTTCCCACGAGGATTTTGCACCCGCTTCTCTGCTCTCCGCTGGCTAGTGTTAAAAGCAGAGAGAGCCTCTTCCTAGAAAGCCCACAAACAGGCGGGTGTGGACGGTCACTTCCTGCCCTCCCCTTGAAGGTCCTGGCCAGATGTTTTCCCCGGGCCGGGGCTCAATTCTTTGTTCATTGGGAAACAAGGATGCAGTTGTTGCATGCCAAACTCTGCAGGAGTGCGCCATCTAGCGACGGGGGAAATCGGAGTAGGGGAAATGGAGCTGGGTGACCAGAAATGCTTGCTGGGCGGAGGGCCAGAAATTAACAATTAACAATTAAATTAACAAAAGAGTTGGAATTGACCTTAGAGCTCTTCTAGTCCAACCCCCTGCTCCATTTCAGACAAATATAGGTTCTCCTGCTTGAGCAGGGGGCTGGACTAGAAGACCTCCAAGGTCCCTTCCAGCTCTATTCTATTCTGTTCTATTCTATTCAAATGGCTGTCCAGCCTCTTCTTGAAAACCTCCAGTGATGAAGCACCCACAACTTCTGGTGGCAAGTGGTTCCACTGGTTAATTGTCCTCACTGTTAGGAAGTTTCTCCTTAATTCCAGGCTGCTTCTCTTCTTGGTTACTTTCCATCCGTTGCTTCTTGTCCTGCCTTTGTTTCTCTGGGCCACATATGTGTGTTTATGTAGGTATATGTATATTTTATTCTATTTTTGGTTATGTTTATGCAGTGTATAATGGAGGTGATTACCCTTTGAGGGCTGTATGCAACAAAATCTCATTTGGATGTATGCTGATTAGTGTACATTTAAAGTGACAATAAAGACCTATTCTATTCTATTCTATTCTTATTCTTATTCCATTCTCATTCCCATGAAATTCCATTATCTATTCTTTTGGCAGCAGCCAAAAAAGCTAACATAATGCTTGGCTGTATAAACAGAGGTATAGAATCAAAATCACATGATGTACCACTTTATAAAGCCTTAGTAAGGCCACACCTGGAATACTGCATCCAGTTTTGGTCACCATATTAGAAAAAAGATGTTGAGACTTTGGAAAAATTGCAAAGAAGAGCAACAAAGGTGATTAAGGGCTGGAGACTAAAACATATGAAGAACGGCTGCAGGAATTTGGTATGGCTAGTCTAAGGAAAAGAAGGACTAGGGGGGACATGATAGTAGTATTCCAGTATCTGAGGGGCTGCCACAAAGAAGAGGGGAGGATCAACTTATTTTCCAACGTACCAGAAGGCAAGACAAGAAACAACAGATGGAAACTAATCAAGGAGAGAAGCAACTTGGAATTAAGCAGAAACTTCCCAACAGTCAGCACAATTAACCAGTGGAATAGCTTGCCTCCAGAAGTTGTGGGTGCTTCATCATTGGAGGTTTTTAAGAAAAGACTGGACAGTCATTTGTATGAAATGGTAGAGGGTCTCCTGCTTGAGCAGGGGGTTGGACTGGAAGACCTCCAAGGTCCCTTCCAGCTCTATTCTGATTGAAATCCTTTGCCTTAAGGTGCTTTGAAAAATAAGCGATCCCCCTCTTCTTTGTGGCAGCCCCGCAAATATTGGAACACTGGCTATCCTGTCACCCCTAGTCCTTCTTTTACCTAGACTAGACAAACACAATTCCTGCCAATCGTTCTTCATATATTTTAGCCTCTAGTCTCCTAATCATCTGTTGATCTTCTCCGCCGTCTTTCTAGAGAAGTGATCGCGAACCTTTTAGAGACCAAGTGCCCAAAAACTGGCCCTGCCCCTGCTCCACCCCCTGCCCTGCCCTGCTCCGCCCCCACCCTGCCTGCCCGCAGGGCCACTCCCCACCTCCAGGGCCCGCCGCAGATTGCCCAGGCAGCCCAGCAGCGCCATGGTGGCCACGCCCTCTGCGCACGCCCTGCGCCCTTGTCTACGCTGCCTGGTTGCCATGTCCTTGGCTACGGTGCTCTGTGTGGGCCACGCTCGGGGGTGACTCTCCTCCAGGGGGGCTGATGGTGAGGAGGGGGTCGCGGGGGGAGGCAAGGCTGGGGCAACGGCACGTGTGCCCACAGAGAGGGCTCCGAGTGTCGCCTCTGGCACGCGTGCCATAGGTTCGCCACCACTGGTCTAGTTTAACGAAGAGAAGAACGAGGGGGGATATGATAGCAGTGTTTCAATATCTCAGGGGCTGCCACAAAGAAGAGGGAGTCAAGCTATTTTCCAAAGCCCCTGAAGGCAGGACAAGAAGCAATGGATGGAAACTAATCAAGGAGAGAAGGAACCTGGAACTAAGGAGAAACTTCCTGACAGTTAGAACAATTAACCAGTGGAACAACCTGCCTCCAGAAGCGGTGAATGCTCCAACATTGGAAGTTTTTAAGAAGAGATTGGACAGCCATTTGTCCGAAATGGTATAGGGTTTCCTGCCTGAGCAGGGAGTTGAACCAGATGACCTCCAAGGTCCTTTCCAACTTTATTATTATTATTATTACTACTACTACTATTATTATTATCATCATCATCATCATTATTATTATATTATAGTATTATTATTATTATTATTATTATTATTATTATTATTATTATTATTATTATATTTTTATTTTTTGTTTCAATGCACTTTACATTTTCTCAAACAAAACCAAGTATGCCATTCAACAAATTTAAAAAAGTCCTTGGGAACATCTCACCGTAACTTGATTTTCACTACGGTGAATGCTTGTATCAACCACAAACTAGGTCAGTTCACTGCTTAGTGCTTTGTCAGCACCTGTCAGAATTCACAATCTCCCCAAAAAGAAAAGACTGCCTCAGAAAAAAGCAGAAAATCATTCATCAATTACTCATCAAAATGAGATCTGAAGGACTAGATTAGAGACAGATCACCATGGGAAAAAAATTATGTGGTGACGAAGAATCGTCACCAATTTAATAGTGTTATCAGTGAAAAAATGAAACGCCCCTGCTGAAAATGGTGGAGTTTTTGTCTGAAAAGTAGTATATACACTGAGAGAAAAAGTATAGAGCCCTAGACCATGTATAAATTTTCTCTTCAAATCTTTTGGGGAACAAAACTGAGTTCCTAAGCAGTTTGAATTAGATTTTAAACACTGTGAACACATAACAATCATTTGACGAGTTTTATAGAAAAATCAATCTGTAATACACAGGCAAGAACAGATAACTACAAATGAAATAAACAATGTAAAACATAATTAAAGACAGTTTGATCTCAGCAAGTATTGATTGTATTCATACTGTTTTCTTAAGTCACCTGGAAGTCCTTCTGCCACCAACACTAGAATTTCTTCCAGGCCCGCCAAGAAGTAATAACCAGGATGGAACCTGCTTAGTTTGAAAGAACACCCAAAGTTCACTTAAGTACTAATGAAGTACTAATAAGTAACACTTTTACAAATACAATCAGTAATATTGAACGTTCCCATCCCACCTCCCTTTAATATTTGTAGCAAAATTCAACCATCATTCCATAAAACCCACTAAGTTCTTATTTTTAGTTCTTTAGGATCCTTTAATTCTGACAAACGAAAGATAAATAAAAGGAAATTAAAATTAGACGGTGTTCTGGATCCATTCAGTTTCTAAAGTCAACTAGCTTGCCTCACCTTCAAAGACTAGGTGTAGGCTAAGGTGTCAGAAATTAGTAGATGTTTGTAGTATGCAGTCTCCTCCTGGGTTTTTTTTTTTTTGAGGTCATGTAAAATTAAAGTTCATCTGAAGCATTTTCCATACTTTTCTTTTCCATGTGGTTTCATTTATGGGCAATCAGGTTGTTACAATGAACAAAGTTCTATCCACTCTCTACTTGTGTGGTTTTTTCCCCCTTTTTTGCCTTTATTTACATATATACAGAGTCCTTGACTTATGACCACAGTAAGGATCAGAATTGCTAGCAAGGCGATTGTGCCTGATCTTGACTTTTGCCAGTTATTAAGCGAATCAGTGCAGTTGTTGAATGAACCATGTCACCATTAAGCGAATCCTGATTCACCCATTGACTTTGCTTGTCAGAAGCCAGCTGGGAAGGTCCCAAATGGTAATCACATGACTCGGGAACGCTGCAACTATCATAGATACGTATCAGTTGCCCACCCCCAAATTTTGATCTTCTAGGTACAATAATAGTTGTAAGTGCGAGGTCTGTTTTTAAGTCACTTTTTTCAGTGCTGTGGTACTTCGGTCACTAAACAAACTTGTAAGTTGAGGGCTGCCTGTAACCTGTTAATACTGAAGCGCTTTTCACATTAACTGCATTTATACGGGTTCTCCCCTCTGTGGATCTTTCTTACAGGCATTAAGGTCACTCTTCTGAAGCTTTTCCACATTCCCAAACATTTAAAAGATGTCTCTCCTGTATGGATCTTTTTATGGGAAGTAAAAGAAATGTTGCACTGAGTAGCATGGTGGCCTAGAGGCGAAAACGTTCACCTCTCACGCGGAAGGTTGAGAGTGTTCAATCCTAGGTAGCGGCAGATGTTTCTCTATCAGGGTGCAAAGAGAAAATATCTGCTATGTGAACTCCACATAGGCGCCAGGAAGGGCATCCAGCCAGTTAAACGCTCGGTCCATTCAGTCGCCCCGACTCCACTCCGATAAAAGGGATTACAGGATCGTAAAAAGGCAAACGTGGTCACTGAATCCCCCCCCATATTCAGTGAATTTATACAGCTTTTCCTCTGTATGAATTCTTTGTCATTACTATCCATACCTCAGGACACTCTCATGGAGAAAATCCATGAATGTGGTTACTAAGAGCTAACACACTTCATTGCGTATAATTAGTATCCTTTATTCATTATTAAAATCAAAAATATTCCCCTTTATTAATAATTAGTCCACATAATCAACGGAAAGATCGTCCCCACACTGTCTGCATTCAAATGGCTTTTCTACACTTTCACGTGAAGTAAGGCGTCTGCTGTTATGGAAACTTTTACCACGCTTGGTGGATTTGTACGGAACTTCTTTTCTATGTGTTCTGTCATGTCGTGTTAGATCAGCAATCCGCTTGAAGCTCTTTCCGCATTCCGTGCATATATACGGTCTTTCCCCTGTATGGATCTTTTTATGAAATTTGAGAGAACTCTTTGTACTGAAGCTCTTTCCACATTCCATACAATGAAATGGTTTCTCTCCTGTGTGGATCCTTTTATGGGAAGTAAGGTGACTACTCAGTGTGAAGTTCTTGCCACATTCTGTGCATTTGTACGGTTTCTCCCCGGTGTGGATCCTTTTATGCACAAGAAGGGAACTGGAATCAGCAAAGCTCTTCCCACACTCGGTGCATTTATAAGGTTTCTCCCCCGAGTGAAGCCTTTTATGGTAAGTAAGGTGACTATTTTGAGTAAAGCTCTTTCCACATTGCAAGCATTTATAAGGCTTCTCCCCTGTGTGGATCCTTTTATGGGAAGTAAGGTGACTACTCTGAGTAAAGCTCTTTCCACATTCCATGCATTTAAATGGTTTCTCCCCTGTGTGGATTCTTTCATGTGCAATAATTTTACTGTACTTGCTGAAGCTTTTCCTACATACCTTGCATTTAAATGGTTTCTTTCCCATGTAATCTTGTTGATGCAAAGTAAAAGAGCAAAATCTCCTATATTTTTTCCCATCCTCTTTCCATTCGGATTGTTTATTTAAATCTGATTGATCTTCAAATATTTTTTGAAAATCTAAACATTGTCGCCTTCTCTCTGTTTTAATATCTTTTGGGGTCAGGAAGTCATAGATTTTAGAACATGAAGAAGCATTTTTATGCCTCTGAATGTTTACTTGAATTTCCTCTTGATTTTTTGATGGGCACTGATTTTGAAATGTCTCTTCTCCCACTTCAACCTTGATGACTCGCAATGGCTCTGTCTCTGCTTCCTGTTTATTCTTCCTTTCATTACCTATTAGGGAAAAAAAGAATGAACAAATGCAGAATATTCCAAATTATTGTTACATTGTGTAAAGAAGTATAGTGGTACCTTGATACTCATTGTTAATTGGTTCCTGGAGCATGATGAGTACCACAAATGATGAATACCAAACAATTTTTCCCATAAGAAATAATAAAATATTCCAAATTATTGTTACATTACATTACAGTATTAATACCACTTTACAATGCCTTGGTAAGGCCACATTTGGAATACTGCATCCAGTTTTGGTCACTACGATGTAAAAAAGATGCTGAGACTCTAGAAAGAGTACAGAGAAGAGCAACAAAGATGATTAGGGGACTGGGGGCTAAAATATATAAGGAACGGTTGCTGGAATTGGGTAAGTCTAGTTTAATGAAGAGAAGGACGAGGGGGGACATGATAGCAGAGTTCCAATATCTCAGGGGCTGCCACATAGAAGAGGGAATCAAGCTATTCTCCAAAGCACCTGAAGGCAGGACAAGAAGCAATGGATGGAAACTAATCAAGGAGAGAAGCAACCTAGAACTAAGGAGAAACTTCCTGACAGAACAATTAACCAGTGAAACCACCTGCCTCCAGAAGCGGTGAATGCGCCAACACTGGAAGTTTTTAAGAAGAGACTGGACAGCCATTTGTTCAAAATGGTATAGGATTTCCTGGCTGAGTTGGGGGTTGGACTAGATGACCTCCAAGGTCCCTTCCAACTTTATTATTATTATTAGTATTATTAGTATTAGTATTATTACTACTACTGCTACTACTACTACTACTACTACTACTACTACTATTACTATTATTATTATTATTATTATTATTATTATTATTATTATTATTATTATTATTATGTAAAGAAGTACAGTGGTACCTTGATACTCATTGTTAATTGGTTCCGGGAGCATGATGAGTACCACAAATGATGAATACCAAACAAATTTTTCCCATAAGAAATAATGTAGTCACAAGGCAGCCGACACTGACAAGTTCTAGCTTGTGTGCTAAGTACCAAGCAATTGGTGAGTACGAGGACAAAATTTTCACATATCAAATTCGATGAGTTTCAAAGCTGTTGAGTATCAAGGTACTACTGTACTTCTTTCTAGCACTTAATCTCTTTGGGACATGTTCATGGCCTTTTAAAGTATAACAAAACCCTTGAATTGCACCTAGATAGGAACTAGTATCCAGTGCAGCATTATAATGCAGTAACATGTTGGAACCTAAGGCTTTTGGTTGTTCTTCAATGGCAACTGCATATAGAGTGAGTTGCAGTAATCTAATTAAGAAATGACAACAGCTTGAGCAACCATTGCTAACACCCTTCTTTCCACTAAAGGCTGCAATAGGCACACCTGCTGAATCTGGGCAAACACCTACATGGTCTATGACAGTGGTGGCGAACCTATGGCACGGGTGCCAGAGGCGGCACTCAGAGCCCTCTATGTGGGCACGCGCGCCGTCGCCCCAGTCCTAGGCCTTCAGCTGGGTTTTATAAAACCTTTTCGCTTTAGGCCTCCGCCGCCATGTGCAAAAAAAAAAAAAAAAGGTTCAATCAGTCAATTTCAACTTCTCGCGGGAAAAAAAAATCTTGCAAAGTTGGAATTGATTGATTGAACTTTTTAGTCCCACCCAGTCTGCTGTTACCACCTCAGCCACGCCCACTCAATGGGCCGCGCCCACCCAATGGGTCACACCCAGCCAACGGGCCACACCCACCCAGTACTCGACGATGCATAAGTGGGTTTTGGGTTGCAGTTTGGGCACTCGGTCTCTAAAAGGTTCGCCATCACTGGTCTATGACAAGGGTGTCAAACTGCCGGCCCGCGGGCCAGACGCATCATCCGGAAGCCACGCCCACCCCATTGCCGGCAATGGCAAAACCGTCCCAATACGTTGCGCGATGTCACATGACATCGCGAGTTTGACATGTCTGGTCTATGACTACCACTCATTACCACTACTGTCAAATTGCAGATCATTCTATTATTTTGAAGAGCACAGCCCCGTCTGCAATCAGAATTTCAATCATTCTGGAACTTGCTGATTTCTAGATTGGCGCTATTCTATCTTCCCTGAGTTGAGCGTGCTCCTGTTTTAGTCCATCCAGACTCTGGCAGCCTCCAGACAACATGTCAAGACCCCTGCAATACACTATCTTCCATCCAGCTCAATATGCAACATATACAGAGAGTCCTATAACATATACAACAGTCAATTTAGTGACCGTTCAAATCACAGTGGCATTGAAAAAAGTGACTTATGACCAGTTTTCAAATTTACGATCATGGTAGCATCCCCGTGGTCATGTGATCAAAATTCAGACGCTCGGCAACTGACTCATATTTATGACGGCTGCAGTGTCCTTGAGTCACGTGATCCCCTTTTGCGACCTTCTGATAAGCAAAGTCAATGGAGAAGCCAGATTCACTTAATAACAGTTTGACTAATTTAACAACTACAGTGATTGAACTGTGGCAAGAATGGTCATAAAATGGGGCAAACTTGCTTAACAAATGTTTCACTTAGCAAGAGAAATTTTAGGCTCAGCTGTGATTGTAAGTTGAGAACTACCTGTATAGCTGGGTATTATGTGTATTAAAGGAATTTAGGGTTGACCTAACTGAGATTGAAGCAAGTGTGAAAAAGGAAGGCAAAACAACCCTGCCTTAACTTTGTTTACTAGGAGAGGGCACAAAGAGAAACTTTCAAGTTTTTGTTATTATATTGCACAATAATAAAACAGCATTTGTGAAATTCCCACAGGATCTGTGTCTTGATCTGGCCTGCCATGAAGGTCAGACAGCTACAAATAAATGGATTCTTTCCAAATAGAAAACACCTAACCCAACTATTTGAACAGAGATCAGAGAGACTTACTCAGAAAAGCCACGTTCCGACAAGTTTCCAACATGATTTCTTCATGGAGAGCTTTCTGATCAGGGTCTAGCAGAGCCCACTCTTCTTTGGTGAAATAGATGACCACCTCCTTGAACGGTATGGAATCCTGAAAAAGGAATATTTTTTTAAATTAAGATACAGACTGAGAAGTCTTTCAAGATCTCTTAGAATTCCCCAGAGTAGAGACATGCAATAAAATATACAGATTTTTTTTGGGGGGGGGGAGGGGGGGCAAGTTTCAGAATTATTTATTTTATTTATTTATTTATTTATTTATTTATTTATTTATTTATTTATTTATTTATTTATTAAGGAACTAAATGGACATAGCTCACGTCCACTGGCTGAAATCACATTGGAGATAAAGGCTGAATAACGTCACAAAGGCTGATTAATATTTCCACAGGATCTGATGCTATTGAACGCATGAATAAAACATCATTCCAGATCTTCCCCATCCTAAGCTCTTTCTTGCATCCACCAGAGCTGCTCCTATTCTGGAAGGTGATTGGATGGCAGCTGATGAAGTGAAGCTCATTCATACAGTGCTACAGGTCAGGAAAAGGACTGATTCTAGATTATACAGTTTTAGCAATAGAAGGGATGCATCTTGAATAAATCACATATGCAGTTCTGAGGATGGGGAACATTTTCTTCCTACCTGAGCTGGAAGGACACCCCCTCTTTCTGTTCCACCAGAAAGAGAAGCTTGATTTCCAAGTGGGAGCTGGTTCATTGTTTTGTTCTCTGTGGGGAGGACCGAGATAGAAGAAATGGAAATTTTTAAAGAATTCTTAATACGGCATATTCTGGGAAAACTAGAATTTTGCCAAGAGAGGCAAAGTTTGGTTGTAAAAGAAGCTCATGAATGAAAGCAGCTTGGAGAGCTCTTGATGACTTTTTGCCATTGAAACAAATCCTTCCTTACCTGGTGGTTTGTCCTGAACTGGATCCTTTTGGGAGATGTCTCCTAACAGTGGATCCCTAGAAGGTTTGAACAGATTCCCTCTTACTTCGGAGCATTTGTTGACCAAATTAAGACGCGATGTCTTCACATGAAACTGCAGACATCAGAAAGGAATGGATTTAACAGAAATGTTAAATGGGACGGAAATGGGAAAACATGCATTTACAACTACCATCCCATCTCCCCTTCTGCTCCACGTTCAACCATGGGAAAAAAGCTTGGTTTTTTTCTGGGAAATTTTCAAAAAGGTGTTATACTCCTTTCTTATATGATTAATACCAGAAAGGACTGAGAAGACTATTTCATGGCCAGCTCCAAAATGATTTGGAGGGACTGGATATTACCACCCCCACAGAACGGATCAGACCTTCATCTCTTCCTGCTTCTTCTCCTCCCCCTGGCTCAGAAGAAAGCTTTCTGCCAAGGCCACCGCTTGAGAACTAGTCTCCACTCCACATTCCTTGACCCAGTTCTTGATCTCCGGGGGCAGGATGGTCAGGAGTTGCTCCAGGATCACCATGTCCAGCATCCGAGACTTTGAGTTTCTTTCTGGCTGCAACCACTGGGAGCAAAGATAGTGAAGGTGGCTGCATATTTCTCTGGGACTCTTGGTCTCCTGGTAGCAGAACTCTCTAAACATTTGTCGCTGGATGTCAGTGCTGATTGTTTCTTCATCTGGGATCTTCTGCTTGCATCCTTCCCAAATGTTCAGACTGGTCTCCTTCGCAAGGAGAGGGTGTACTGCTGTTTCCTCACATTTTGATCTTTTTCTATCCATTTTCCATCTACGTTCAATCGAATTTCCCAATGGGTAAAAGGTCTCAAAACCTTCTTCCATCTATAGAAT